CTCATGGCCTCAAACTGCTGAATGACGTGCCGGAGCTCAAAACGACCGGTCGGGTCGTTACACTCTGAGGGTTCGAAACTCTGAATTATGTGTTTTGTGATTGGTGTTGAGGTGATGCACATGCCAAGTGATAGAAGTGCGGGCATGCACCATGAGAATTGTGACCTGGTCGATTCCATGCTGGAGATCATGTTTATGCTATATATTGATATTGTTGGAACCCACAGTGATCGTTTCTTGCTGTTGACTTACTGGTTTTAGTGATATTTCGTACTTAGTCATATTCATTCATTTCATATCATTTCTCAATCTCTGTTGTTATTTATTGATACATCATATCATCATGTTCGGGCTAGTTTCATGATATTGTGAGCCCGTGAGGGAGACTGGAGAGATTGATGAATGAGTGAGGCCGATGGCCTGATTATGAGTGACATTTATGGGATCGGGCTGCACGCTGCAACGCTTATACTAATTTATGATAGCATTTGGGCTGAAGGAGTCTCTCCGGAGTCTGCACACACCCCAGTGAGTGCAGTTAATTTATATTGAGAGATGAATCTTCCTTGGACATGGATCTTGTCTGAAGCATTTATACCTAGGAATGGATCTTTCCCACGTGATGAATTATCCCTGCTCTGTACTGAATGACTGATGGTCAGTTGATGTATATATTTTGGGATGGATCTTCCCTGGGTTGGATTGGCCATATACAATACTAAGTGATTGAGCATTTGAGAGTGTACACACATGAGACTGTCATTATGGTGCATCATATACAGCACGTACATTGGCATGTAGAAGTGGAGGAGTTATATTCTTCATATCATTCAGATTTGATCTATCTTACTGTATTGAGTTTAACTGTTGACTGTTATTTCTATATTAGACGATACCGGTTGAGTTCGTCACTACTTTCAGTCTAAATGTTAGATTTGTTACTTATTGAGTTGGTTGTACTCACGCTACACCTTGCACCTCATGTGCAGATCCAGGTGCTTCCGGTCATGGCGGCTGCTGAGTTGTGGAGTCAAGATCTTTGGAGACTATCGAGGTAGCTGCATGGCATTCGCAGACCTTGACTCTCCTTCATTGTCTTTACTTATATTTTTGTGTTGCTCTTTAGACATTGCATTAGACTATCTTCTGTTGCAGATGCTCATGTACTCGGTGACACCTTAGTTTTTGAGAGAGATTTGTATTGAGTTGCAAATTTTTTTCTGCTTTTTAAAAGGTTTTCCTTAAATATTAACTGCTTCTGTATTTTCTAAAAGTTTTTACTGCATTGAAATGGCTGAGTAATTGGGTTGCCTAGTTCCACGATAGGCATCATCACGACGATTTGGTTTTGGGTCGTGACAAGCTGGTATTAGAGCCTAGGTTACATAGGTCTCACGAGTTATGAGCAGGTTTAGTAGAGTCTTTTGGATCGGTACAGAGACGTCTGTACTTGTCTTCTGAGTTGGACCATCATGTAGTTTGGATGGTTCCCATTGATAGGGAGAGGATTAGGAGGTTCATTGATGGCCTCATGTATCAGTTGTGATTGCTTATTACTAGGGAGATGGTGTCTGGTACTACTTTCGATGAGGTTATTGATATTGCACGGCAGATAAAGTTAGTCCGAAGCCAAGAGCGGGGTGAGGGGGAGGCCATGAGGCCTCGTGGATCGGGTGGTTTTAGTGTTGTTCCTTCTAGGGGTCAGTTCTACCACGGCAGGGGTCGTCCTTATAGGCATGCTTAGACGGCTCGTCCAGTTCACCGTGGTGCATCATCTGACCAGGGTTCATGCAGTGCACAACAGGGTCACTCATCTTTCAGTGCCATTCCAGCTTAGAATTCGTCTCATGCACCATCAGCTCATGGTTCATCTGTATCGAGTCGTTCTGGTAGTTACTCTAGTTCTCGGGGTCCGTCTTAGTACTCACCGCCATTCACAAGGAGAGGTTGTTTTGAGTGTGGAGATCTTAGTCATATCAAGAGGCATTGTCCCCCCCCCCTTCAGGAGGTCACGCTCAGCAGAGGAGTCAGCCTACAATTTCAGCACCTGTTACTTCACCACCCGCCCAGCCAGCTCGGGGTGGAGCTCAATCAGTTAGGGTTCACCCTAGTGGGGGAGGTCGATAAGGTGGCGGTCAGGATCAATTTTATGCTCTTCCTGCCAGACCGGATGCTATTGCTTCAGACACAGTGATTTGTATTGTCTCAGTATGTCACCAAGATACTTCAGTATTATTTGACCCTGGTTCCACCTATTTATATGTATCATCGTATTTTGCTCATTATCTGGATATGCCCGTAAGTCCTTAGTTTCCTCTGTTCATGTATCTACCCAGTAGGCGATACTATTATTGTGGACCGTGTATACTGATGTGTACAGTGACTATTGGTGGATTAGAGACTAGAGTTAATCTCTTGTTGCTTAGTATGGTCGCTTTTGATATGATCTTGGGTATAGATTGATTGTCTCCATATCATGCTATTTTAGATTGTCACGCTAAGACTGTGACATAGGCGATGTCGGGGTTGCCAAAGATTGAGTGGAAAGGTTCTCTACACTATGTTCCCAGCAAGGTGATTTCGTATTTGAAGGCCCAGTGGATGGTTGGGAATGGTTGTTTATCTTATATGGCCTTTGTGAGAGATATTGGTGTTGATACCCCTACTATTAATTCTATTCCGGTGGTTCGAGATTTTCCGTATATGTTTCCTGCAGACCTACCGGGCATGCCGCCCGATAGGGATAATAACTTTGGTATTGACTTGTTGCCAGGAACTCAGCCCATTTCTATTCCTCCATACCGTATGGCATCGACTGAATTGAAGGGGTTGAAATATCATCTTCAGAAATTTTTTGATAAGGAGTTTATTAGGCCTAGTGTATCACCTTAGGGTGTACCGGTTATGTTTGTGAAGAATAATAATGGTACTATAAGAATGTGCATTGATTATGGGCAGTTGAACAAAGTCACAATCAAGAACAAGTATCCTTTGCTACGTATTGATGATCTATTTGCCCGGCTTCAGAGAGCGAGGGTGTTCTCCAAGACTGATTTGAGGTTTGGGTATCATTGGTTGAAGATTCAGGACTCAAATATTCTAAAGACGGCATTCAAGACTCGTTATGGTCATTACGAGTTCCTTATGATGTCTGTTGGGCTGACCAATGCCCCAGCAGCATTCATGCATCTGATGAACAGTGTGTTTCAGCCTTATCTCGACTCGTTTGTTATTGTGTTCATTGATGATATCCTGGTGTACTCTCGTAACCAGGAGGATCATGCCCAGAATTTGAGGATTGTGTTGCAGCGGTTGAGGGAGGAGAAGCTTTATGCCAAGTTCTCTAAGTGTGAGTTTTCACTTAGTTCAGTGGCGTTCTTGGGGTACGTGGTGTCCAGTGAGGGGATTCAGGTGGATTCGAAGAAGATTGAGACGGTTTAGAGTTAGCCCAGACTGTCCTCGGCCATGGAGATTCGGAGCTTTCTCGGATTGGTCGGTTATTATCGTTGCTTTGTTAAGGGTTTCTGGTCTATTGAATCGCCCTTGACCAAATTGACCCAAAAGGGTGCTCCTTCGAGATGGTCGGATGAGTGTGAGAAGAGCTTTCAGAAGCTGAAGACTGCTTTGACCACATCTCTAGTTCTAGTTTTGCCTTCATTTTCAGACTCTTATATAGTATATTTGTGATGCTTCTCGGATCGGTATTGGGTGTGTTTTGATGTAGGGGTAGAGTGATTGCTTATGCTTCACATCAGTTGAAGCCTCATGAGAAGAACTACCTTATTCATGATTTAGAGTTGGTTGCCATTGTTCATGCATTGAATAATTGGAGACACTATCTCTATGGTGTGTCTTGTGAGGTTTTTACAGATCATCTGAGCCTCCAACACCTGTTCAAACAGAAGGATCTAAATTTGAGGCAGCAGAGATGGTTGTAGCTACTAAAGGACTATGATATTACTATTCTGTATCATCCGGGGAAGGCTAATGTGGTGGCCGATGCCTTGAGCATGAAGGCAGTGAGTATGGGTAGCCTTGCATTCATTCATGTTGGTGAGAGACCTCTTGCAGTTAATGTTCAGGCCTAGGCCAACTAGTTCGTAAGATTAGATATTTCGGAGCCCAGTCCGGTTCTAGCCTGTGTGCTTTCTGTAGACATGTGATTTTTGACCCTTCCCAAGATTTTTCATATTTTAGCACGTAAATATTTAATTTAGGCCCAATATAGCTATTTCAACTCATTTTTACTCTTTACTTTATTTTATTACAAGAAAATAAAAATTACAAAAAAATATTTTATTTTATGTACCTTTCATAAAATAATAAAATAATAATAATAATATAAAAAATAGTACCTTAATTTTTATCTTTATATAATCTTGAAAAATACAAAAATATGTAATAGTTTCATGTTTTAATATAGTTTAGTTTAATTAATTAGAATTTATTTTTGCATCATGTAGTATAGTTATCCTATATTAAGAGAATTTAGCTATAGTTTTAAATAATAATTTTTGGAGTCTTCTTAGCCCAAAATTGAAACACAAAAGATATGGTCCAACCCAATTACCCTTAACCCATTCTTCCCAACCCATTAGCCCATTTAAGTTCAAAATTTAATCCTAACCATCTATTTTCCATCTAATCCAATGGTCATCATCTCTTTCCATCTCCGTATAAAATACTCAATTATAAAAACTCAACCCTAAGATTTTCAATACCAAGACCTAGCTAACACACAAGAACGGCAGCCATCACCTTGACCCCTCAATTCCCCATAGCCAGATACAAACGAGGCATAGAAACAAAGCAAAAAAGAAATGAGGAAAAACGTAACTTTCCGCTCTGCGATTTTGGGAAATCATTGATTCTTCTTCTTGGAATTTCACCAAAGACCAACGACACACTTCCACCAAAGAAAGTGAGAAATGGCCAGAATTTCCGAAAAATCTTCGGCCGTACCTACACCAAATCTCCACGCCTCTGCCGCCGTTGGACTGCAAAGAAGTATTGCCAGTAAGGTCGAATCCCAAACTCCAGCACCACCGAACTCCATAGCTGCTGAGCTCTAATCAATTTCATTCTCTCGAAAACTCCATTTACTATTGAGTCGAGGTTGCCGACGAGTTCACTGCTCAAGCTAGTCCCTGTTTTCATTTCCTAGTAGCATCTAGCTCACCAAAATTTGCAGTAATTGAATTTCGCTATTTAAAAAGGAAAGCAGCTGAGGTTAATTCTTTACTTTTCTATTCCATTTTTATCATTATACATATATTTTTGTGTGTTACTCTGCGTCACTTATATTTATACGATGAATGTTATTAGTGTATCAAAATGTTTAATCATGTTTAATTGGAGGAAGAACGCATGTTGCTCTGTAGTTGTTGTTTTGAATTTGATTATTTAATCCTAAATTGGTATTTGTAAATCAATCCATCTCAAAGGCAATGAAGTGGGCCGTGGGCAATCTGGCTATGCAAATGTGAAGCCTTCGTTAGTTTTGGGTAAATTGAGCATTCAATAGGTTTTAGTTTTGTAATACATTTTTTTTAATAAATAATTCTTGGGGTTTGTTGGTTTAAAATTGGGTTTGGGGTTTGATTAATACTGCGAGGAGTTTGGGCTTAATATTCATAATCTGTCCAGGAATTTTTGAGTGAGGCATACGATTTGTTTGACAAATTAATTTGAGCATGTGAGGTTTCAATTTGATATAATAAACCAAATGGATTATTTTTGTTTGGTCTAGTTTGATAAGAGTTTAAATGTTGTCAACTTACTAATTAACTTATGATTATTCATAGCTTGTTTTAGGCACGATTAATAAATAAACCATCGTGGCTATGAGTACGGTTCCCGTGACATAGTCATGATGCCTAATTCCCAAATTCAGGGGTGCATTTCATGTAACCCGATTTTTATAACAATTTCGAATAATAAAGCCCTCCTTAGATTGAGGTGCGCCATGCCAAATAAAATCTTAAAATGCATGGCCCTCACTTAATTAATACTTGAATCCTTAGAAATCGAGGCGTGTCATTTAGTTGAATTTCCATGGCCCTCGCAAAGTGGAATATGCATAGTTGCTTTAGGCGCGTTATTTTAATAATTACCTCCCAAAACTCGGGTGCGCATTTATGTGACCCAAATCCAAATCTCAATGTTAAATAAAATGTGTTGCGGACTGCAGGTGCATTATGTGACGTGGTTTGAAACATATTTTAGATGACGTTGAAATCTTCCTTAAAATAATTAAGAGCTGTTTAGAGTTAAAATGCACATAGGTTTGAAATGTATTAAACTCAGATAATTAAGTCGAATATAACAGTTGAGCGACCGTGCTAGAACCACGGAATTCGGGAATGCCTAATACCTTCTTCCGGGTTAACAGAATTCCTTACTCGGATTTCTGGTTTGCGAACTGTTAAACAGAGTCAAGTTTTCCTCGATTCGGGATTCAACTGGTGACTTGGGACACCATAAACCTCCCAAGTGGCGACTCTGAATTTTAACAAAATAATCCCGCTTCGATTGTTACTTCAAGTGGAAAAATTCCCTTATATACTCCCTTCCGGGGGTGTAGGTAAAAAAGGAGGTGTGACATTTTCTCGGTCTTTCTTATTTGATTGCATCATAGAGCGTCAGTATGATGATCCTCATTTATTTTTCCTCAAGGACAAGGTCCAGCACGGTGATGCCAGAGATGTTAGTATTGGATATGATGGGGTGTTGGGGATGCAGGGCCATATATGTGTGCCCAATGTAGGTGGGTTACGTGAGTTGATTCTTGAGGAGTCCCACAACTCGCGATATTCCATTCATCCGGGTTGCCGCGAAGATGTACCAGAACTTGAGGCAGTATTATTGTTAGAGGAGGATGAAGAAGGATATAGTGTGATTTGTAGCTCGATGCCTTAACTTTCAGCAGGTAAAGTATGAACATCAGAGACCAGGTCGATTACTTCATAGGATAGAGATTCCAGAGTGGAAGTGGGAGCGAATCACCATGAATTTCGTTGTTGGGCTCCTACGGACTTCGAGGAAGTTCGACGCTATTTGGGTGATTGTAGATCGGCTGACCAAGTCCGCGCACTTTATTCCAGTTGGTACTACTTATTCTTCAGAGCGGTTAGCTGAGATTTACATTCGAGAGATTGTTTGCCTTCACGGTGTGCCAGTGTCCATCATTTTAGATCGGGGCACGAAGTTTATATTGCAATTTTGGAGAGCCGTGTAGCGAAAGTTGGGCACCCAGGTTGAGTTGAGTACAACATTTCACCCTCAAACAGACGGATAATCCAAGCACACTATTCAGATATTGGAAGACATGTTACGCGCTTGTGTCATTGATTTTGTGGGTTCATGGGATGAGTTTCTGCCGCTCGCGGAGTTTGCCTATAATAACAGTTATCAGTCGAGCATTCAGATGGCTCTGTATAAGGCTTTGTATGAGAGACGGTGTAGATCTCCGTGGGTTGGTTTAAGCCGGGTGAGGCTAGGCAATTGGGTACTGAATTGAAAGGTGTTATGAGGTTTGGAAAGAAGGGTAAGTTGAGCACTCGGTTTATTGGGCTGTTTGAGGTACTTCAGAGGATTGGGGAGGTGGCTTACATGCTTGCTTGCCATCTAGTTTGTCGAGTGTGTATCCATTATTTCATGTTTCTATGCTTCGGAAGTATGTCGACGATCCGTCTCATGTTTTGGATTTTAGCACGGTTCAGTTGGATGGTAATATGACTTACGATGTGGAGTCGGTGTCCATTTTGGATCAATGCGTTCGAAAGTTGAGGTCAAAGGATATAGCTTCAGTTAAGGTGCAATAGAGAGGTCAGCCAGTTGAGGAGGCTACTTGGGAGACCGAGCGGGAGATGCGAAGCAGATATTCACACCTATTTGAGATTCCAAGTATGTTTCTAGACCCATTCGAGGATGAACGTTTGTTTAAGAGGGGGAGGATGTAATGGTACGGCCGGTCATTTTGAGAGCTTTAGCACCGTTCAGCCATTTACCGGTCCTTTTGTATTTTATAGCTATTATATGGCTTACCGGGTTAGTCGGTTCGAGTTCGGAAGAATTTCAAAATGAATTGAGACACTTAGTCTCAAGGTTGGAGGCTTAAGTTGGAAAAGTTGACAGGATGTTGGCTTATGTGTAAACGACCCCGAATTTGAATTTTGATGGTTCCGTTAGCTCCGTTTGGTAATTTTGGACTTAGGAGCATGTCCGAATTGTGATTTTGAGGTCCGTGGTGTAATTACGCTTGAAATGGCAAAAATTAAAATTTTGGGAAGTTTGACCGGAGGTGAACTTTTTGATATCGGGGTCGGATTGGGATTCCAGAAGTTAGAGTAGGTCTGTGGTGTTATTTGTAACTTGTGTGCAAATTCTGGGGTCAATCGGACGTGGTTTGATAGGTTTCGATGTCAGTTGTAGAAATTGGAGGTTTCAAAGTTCATTAGGCTTGAATCTATATGTGATTCGTGTTTTTGATGTCGTTTGAGGTGATTTGAGGGTTCGACTAAGTTCGTATGATGTTTTGGTACCCGATGGTATGTTTGGTTGAGATCCCGGGGGGCCTCAGGTTGATTTCGGGTAGTTAACGGACCAAGGTTTGAAGTTGAAGAATTTCTAAAGATTTGCAACTACTGGTGTAATCGCACCTACGAAGTGAGAACCGCAGATGCGAGCTCGCAGGTACAGGGTAGGGTCCGCAGATGCGGAGTCTGAAGAGAGGTGAGTAGAAGGTCGTAGGTGCGAATGTTTTCCCGCACCTGCGTAACCGCAAATGCGGCAGGAAGACCGCAGAAGCAGAAGGGGCAGTAGAGTTGGGTTCCGCAGAAACGGAGGTTTTCTCCCAGAAGCGAGTCCGCAGAGCGTAGAGAGGGACCACATGAGCAGAATTAACCGCAGATGCGGTTTGTAGGTCACTTTTGCGACGCCGCAAAAGCGACTAAGTTGGTCGTAGGTGCGAAAAACCTGGACAGAATATAAACGTTGGATGGTTTTATCATTTCTAGACTTTGCAAACTCGAATTTGGACGATTTTTAGAGGGATTCTTGAGGTAAGTGAAATGTGGTTAAATTTCTCCAATAATTATGTTTTCCCATTGATTTTCTCACCTAGTTGTGTATTTTTGAGGTATAATTTGGAGCTTTGAGACTAGAGATTTAGAGAGCTTGATTTGGGGATTTGGGTGGCGATTTGGTGTCAGGTTTTGATAAATTTGGTATGGTTAGACTCGTGGTTGGATGGGTTTTCGGGTTTTGTGACTTTTTTCAGATTTTGAGACGTGGGCCTTAAGCCGATTTCAGATTTTTGAGTTATAACTTTGTAATTTCTTGTGGAATTTATTCCTTTAGCCCGTATTGATTGTATTGTGCTGCTTGTGGCTAGATTCGGGACATTTGGAGGCCGATTTGCGAGGCAAAGGCGTGTTGGAGTAGAGTTTTGCTTGGATTGAGGTAAGTAACACTTCTAAACTTGGCTTTGAGGATTTGAAACCCCAAATTATGTGTTATGTGATTGGTGTTAAGGTGACGCACATGACAAGTGACGGGCGTGTGGTTGTGCACCGTGAGAATTGTGACATGGTCGATTCCATGACACTATTTAGTTGTTCTATCTTGTTGATATTCGTGTTTTCGTCATGTAATAAAGTAATTGAGCTGTCAATCATGTTAGAGATTATGCTTAGGTTATATGCTGGTACTGTTGGGACCCATAGTGTTTGTTTCTTGTTGTTGACTTACTGATTTCATTGATATTTCGTACTTATCCATATTCATTCATTTCATATAATATCTCAGTCTCTGTTGTTATTTATTGATACATCTAGTTTCATGACATTGTGAGCCCGTGAGAGAGATTGGAGAGATTGATGATTGAGTGAGGCTGATGGCCTGATTATGAGTGACATTTATGGGATCGGGCGGCACGCCGCAGCTATTATACTGATTTATGATAATGTTTGGGCTGAAGGAGCCCCTTCGGAGTTTGCACACACCGCGGTGAGCGCGGTTAATTTATATTGAGGGATGGATCTTCCCTGGACATGGATCTTGTCTGAAGTATTTATACCCGGGAATGGATCTTCCCCACGTGCTGGATCGGCCCTGCTCAGTACTGAGTGACTGATGGTTAGTTGATGTATATATTCCGGGATGGAGCTTCCCTTGGTCGGATTGGCCATATATAATACTGAATGATAGAGCATTTGAGAGTTGAGCACATGAGGCTGTCAGCATGGTGCATCACATACAACATGTGCAATGGCATATAGAAGTAGAGGAGTTATATTCTTCATATCATTCAAATTTGATCTATCTTACTGTATTGAGTTTAATTGTTGAACTTGAAAGAATGCCTACGTTTCTGCACTGTTATTTCTATATTGAACTGTACTGGTTGAGTATGTCACTACTTTCAGTCCAAAGGTTTGTTACTTATTGAGTTGGTTGTACTCACGCGTACCTCCTGTGCAGATCCAGGTGCTTCCGGTCACGGCGGCTGTTGAGTTGTGGAGTCGAGATCTTTGGAGACTATCGAGATAGATGCATGACGTTCAGAGACCTTAACTCTCCTTCATTATCTTTACTTATATTTTAGTTTTACTCTTTAGACATTATAGTAGACTATCTTCCGTTATGGATTCTCATGTACTCGGTGACACCCCGATTTTTTGGAGAGATTTGTATTGAGCTGCGAATTTTATTCTGCTTTTAAAAGGGTTTTTCTTAAATATTAACTGCTTCCATATTTTTTTAAAAGCTTTTAATGTGTTGAAATGGTTGAGCAGTTGGGTTGCCTAGTTCCACGATAGGCGTCATCAAGATAATTTGTTTTTAGGTCGTGACAACTATGGAGGACGATATCATTTACGGTTGTTAGGAGCAACAAATACAACTTAATTAGATGCAAAGACAAATAACCGACACGCTCCCAATAAGTCAATCTATGACAATATATTAAGATCCAACACATTATTTTAGATATAATTCAACATTTTCACAAATTGAGACTTGATCGTAGATAGGTCAAATTGTATCCAAAGCACAAGGATACAAAATAGTAATAAGAGACGCACAAATCAAGTAATCATATTGGCCGAATTATTGAATTTGAAATAAAAATAGGAGTAATGCTTCCTAGCACGAGTCAAAGAATAAGAGCACTTAAATTAAATTAGTATTCATGCCGGTGAAAGTAACCATAAAAGAAAAGTCGGATTCCAAATTCAAAATCGATTTTTTAAAGGAAGTTAAAAAGAAGTTGTAAAGCGGTAGATAGGCTTAGATAGAAAACATAAGATTTTCTTCTCTATATCAATCCAATCTTGGGTTTATTGGGTATTGGGCTTTGGCCATCCAATTTCCCTAATTCTATATCCATGGGTGATGTCTTCTTATTTCAAACCTTAGCATTTTAGCTAGTTCTCTAGGTTATAAGCACTATTTAGGGTTCAAAAGACTTTGATTAATTATAAAAAGGTGATATTTGTTCCTTTCTTTTAGAAAATTATTCACGTTTATCCCTAATTTTGCTGTCGGTCTAACTAATAGCTCGTTTGGCCAAACTGCAAAAATCAGCTTATTTTGAAAAATATTTTTTTTCAAAAGTACTTTTCTCAAAAATATTTTTGGTGAGAAGCAGTTTGTGTTTGGCTAATTAGTTTGAAAAACATTTCTGAGCAGCAATTAGTGTTTGACCAAGCTTTAAAAAACTGCTTCTAAGCGTATTTTTCTCAAAAGTGCTTCTCAAAAAAGTGCTTTTGAAGAGAAGCTACTTTTTTCCGCTTCTCCAAAACTGCTTCTGCTTCTCCTCAAAAATATTTTTTTTCCTTCCAAAAATTTGGCTAAACACTTTAATTTTTGGCCAAAAGTGCTTTTGACCAAAAAGAAGGTTGGCGAAAGGCTATAAGTTTCTACCATTAAGAAAGTAAATAAACATAGCCCTAACTCTAACTGCTGACCATCAGAATTCGTCCCCTTTCTCTCCCTTGCCTTCTACTATTATTTACCTTTCATTTCACCTCACCCACCTCCATGGATGGAAAAATCACATAGAATCATCACTTGTCAAATAAAAATACTACTGATTAACACTCGAAAAAGACTATAACCCTTTTTCGTTCACCATTTTCGGATTTTCCAGGCTCCATTCTTCCGTTTTTTTGTACTAATCTAGAAAACATATCGATAACACCAAGAAAAGAAAACACAAGAATTAGAAGAAAATAAAACCATCAAGATTTCTGCTTTTTACCTATTGATTAATTTCCTGCTTAATCCAAAAAGGCAAAGAGCAACGGAGATGGACCAAGAAATTGTAAGTCACGAAATCCTAGAAAGTTTTGATACGTTTGACTTTTGACACCACCTAAGTCCCTTTTTCTTTCTCTGTAAATTGATAGAAAAAAACTAAAATGTTCTAATTTTGTGATCTAAAAAAACAGGTAAGAGATTAAAAAGGAAATTTTGGTGTTAAGATAATGGTGTATTAATACTACATTGTTTATTAACCAAACCAAGGAAAAAGCAATTTCAGTTATTGAGTCCTTTTTGTTTAACCGAACAGTGAAGACCAGCGATTTTAACAAATGAAGACTACCGATTTCTTGGGGGGGGAAGATAGTTGACAGAGGTTGAGAATGGTAATGGAATGTTGTCTCAGTGTAGTTCAAGACAGAGGATGATGGTTCAACCCTTCAAGGCGTTGCTACAAAGTATTAAATACCCAGTTCTTTCATAGGTTTAGTGGTTAAGGTTGCTGTAATCGTGGAGACAAAGGGATTAAGATGTTAGGTAAAAGACGATAGAAAAAGAAGAAAAGGAAAAAATTAGAGTTAATTATGAGACAGTTTTTATTGAGTGGGCAACCGTTATGGTTGGGACATGTTTGTCTACTTTCTTAACGGTATGGACTTATTTCCATGGATAGTAGAATCAGAAATAAACATGATAATTTTCTAAAATAGAGGGACAAATCTGATCTTTTACTCCTTAATTAATACTTTCAACCACTATCCATTGTCTTCTTCAACCATCTAACTACAATATTAATGACACACGACCTAAGTAGGGTCACCAAGTTTTCAATTGAACCATAATTCACCTCATAAACATTTATCTCTTAAGGTTGATATTTCTTTCCTATTCGAAAGTCAACACTTTTAAGCCACAATACTAATCTCATGCACTTCCAAGCGCCATTTCAAACGCCTATGTCCATGTTCTAAACACTTCACTTGTGTATTTGGTTCAAACTCTATATTATCTTAATTTTTTTTATTAAATATGTTCAAATTATTAATTTAGATCTCAGTAACTTATAAATTTCAAATCATTACTCCTTCTTTGATCTCATGGGCCCTCTAATAACGTAATCAAATTCATATATAGCTGAAATTGGTTTAAAATCTATGAGACTTTACAAGATATTTATCCAAACAAAAAAATTAAAGTGTTTCTTGATTAGCTGTATTCATGGTTATGCTTGGTTTCGTTTTTGTTATATATATATATATATTCATTTTGCCGTCTTCTTGGGGTTTTTTCACAGGATGTAAAAAATCAGTTCATTCGTTGATTTAGTATATATANTATATTTATTCAAGATTAACCAAATATTGATAGTTAGGAAAGAATAAAGGTAGAATATCCTTATAAACCATTGTACTTGTTCCGGTTTGATATTTCGGTCCTTCTACTTCACTTGTTTTCATCCATATACTTTAAATTGATCAAAGCCTATTTTAAACCCCTCTGACCATGTGTGTATCTCACTTGCTGTCACGACCCAAATTTCTCTCTGTTGGGTATCGTGATGGCACCTAGTCTTAGGGATAAGGTAAGCCTAACATTAATTGAAACAACAACATTATTTAAATAACATCTAACAATTTGAAATAGAAATCTCTTTAAAATTTACAACCTCAAAACCGGTAGTACAAATCATAAGCTCTATAGAGTTTGCTATAAAACTTCTAAATATAACTATTTTGAAATAAGAGTGAACAGTGTAAATACAAAATAGGAAGGTGACTCCGAAGCCAGCGAGCGCATCAACAGATTTACCTTGAGTCTCCACAACAGCAAACCGCACATCGGCTAATGATCAATACATGGATTTGCACAAAAATTGTGCAGAAACGTAGTATGAGTACACCACATCGGTACCCAATAAATATCAAGACTAACCTCGATGGAGTAGTGACGAGGAACAGTCAAGACACCTACTGGACTAAATAACCTGAACAAGTATAAGTGTAGAAACAATAGGGGTACGATATCTATATAAAGACTACGCAAAATGACAATGAAATAATACGGAAATTACAGCTAGAAAGGAAAGTGACATCTAACATCGAAACCCCATAAGTAGAGTAAGCTGAACACAGTCTAAATCCAGTGAACACGATTAAAGGAAAAACAGGTAGCAACCAGATAAAATAACCACTTTTGCATAAGGATTTAGCCAATAACCTTCACGAGGTCCCGAACCTCAATTATTCATAACTCCGAACACTTGGCACCTTGTGCCCTCATTACAACCAATAATTGCATGGACGACGCACATGCCAATAGAACCAGACGAGGTTGTGTAGAAATGATCAATAACATCAAGGTTTGTTTTATTAACCGATAAGAGTGATTAACTACGTGTACGTTTGTGCAAGTTTTCTAATACAGTTCATGTCAGCTAGTAAGTACAGAAAAAGAAATGGACAACACGTAGAATATTTTTCCCACAATTTTTCACGAAATAAAACTCACACAGATAAGTGCACCACTACACAAATATCAATAACAAGAATTCCCTCATGCCATCACAAGTCATCACAAATCAATCCCTAACATAGCTCACCTTGTCTCGCCACGTGTGCAATAATAAAGTAAGTGTCTGCCTTGCCTCGTCACACGTGCATAATAATATTCTCACCTTGTCTCGCAACATGCACTACTCTCTCTCTCTCTCTC